CTTCGACTGTCGTCGAGTCGTTTACCCACCGCAGTCGAATCTAGGTCGACCGTTGGCGGCGATGGCCTTAGCCATAATATAGTTGATGGCCTTAGCCATGTAGGCGACTTCGACTGTCGTCGAGTCGTTTACTCACCGTAGTCGAATCTAGGTCGACCGTTGGCGGCGATGGCCTTAGCCATAATATAATTGGTGGCCTTAGCCATGTGGGCGACTTCGACTGTCGTCGAGTCGTTTACTCACCGTAGTCGAATCTAGGTCGACCGTTGGCGGCGATGGCCTTAGCCATAATATAGTTGATGGCCTTAGCCATGTGGGCGACTTCGACTGTCGTCGAGTAGTTTACTCACCGTAGTCGAATCTAGGTCGACCGTTGGCGGCGATGGCCTTAGCCATAATATAATTGATGGCCTTAGCCATGTAGGCGACTTCGACTGTCGTCGAGTCGTCTACTCACCGTAGTCGAATCTAGGTTGACCGTTGGCAGCGATGGCCTTAGTTTTTCAACTCGGTGCGGGCGAGTCTTAGCCGTTATTTGGCGATAGCGGCGCTTAGCCTTAGTCCCAGTTCGGACGCGGTCGAACTACCGGTCGTGATGGTAAAAAATGCGGCCTCGTAGTTTGACCTGGGCCGAAATTTACGTGGCCCGAATCTTAATTCGAGTTGGGAGAACTTACTTGAATGGCGAGGGTGCCTATCCTGCGCTTCGATTTGTTGGAGGTCGGGCTTTGCTTTCACATATGAAGGCGTTTGGCCTGAGTCTCGGTTCAACTCTGGTTGAACTTGCTAAAGTTGAGTACGAAGGCGTCCATCCTTGTAGTTCGAGCGGGGTCGAGCTCGTTGGATTTAATGGCGAAGGCACATAGCCTGAGTCTTGGTTCAACCGTGGTCTGACTTATTGGCGAAGACACGTAGCCGGAGTCCCAGTTCGACTGTTGTTGGACTTTGTTAAATTTGGTGGCGAAGGCACATAACTTGAGTCCCTGTTCAACCGTAGTTGAACTTTTTGTTGAAGGCACATAGCCTGTCTTCGTTCAACCGTAGTTGAACTGTTTGGTGAAGGCGCATATCCTGTCTTAGTTCAACCGTAGTTGAACTAATTGGCGAAGGCGGGTAGCCTGAGTCCCGGTTCAATCGTAGTTGAACTTTTTTGGTGAATGCGCATAGCCTGAGTCCCGGTTCAACCGTGGTTGGACTTATTGGCGAAGGCACATAGCCTGTCTTGGTTCAACCATAGTTGAACTTGTTGGCGAAGGCACATAGCCTGAGTCCCGGTTCATCCGTAGTTGAACTTTTTGGTAAAGGCGCATAGCCTGTCTTGGTTCAACCGTAGTCGAACTTTTTGGTGAAGGCACATAGCCTGTCTTGGTTCAACCGTAGTTCAACTTGTTGGCGAAGGCGCATAGGCTTGATTTAATGACGAAGGCGCTTAGCCTGAGTCTTGGTTCAACCGTAGTTGAACTTACTGGCGAAGGCGCATAGCCTTGATTTAATGACGAAGGCGCTTAGCCTGAGTCTTGGTTCAACCGTAGTTGAACTTACTGGCGAAGGCGCGTAGCCTTGATTTAATGACGAAGGCGCTTAGCCTGAGTCTTGGTTCAACCGTAGTTGAACTTACTGGCGAAGGCGCATAGCCTGAATCTTGGTTCAACCGTAGTTGAACTTACTGGTGAAGGCGCATAGCCTGATCTTGGTTCAACCGTAGTTGAACTTACTGGCGAAGGCGCATAGGCTTGATTTAATGACGAAGGTGCTTAGCCTGAGTCTTGGTTCAACCGTAGTTGAACTTACTGGCGAAGGCGCATAGCCTTGATTTAATGACGAAGGCGCTTAGCCTGAGTCTCGGTTCAACCGTAGTTGAACTTTTTGGTGAAGGCGCATAGCCTGTCTTGGTTCAACCGTAGTTGAACTTTTTGGTGAAGGCACATAGTCTGTCTTGGTTCAACCGTAGTTGAAGATTTTGGTGAAGGCGCATAGCCTGTCTTGGTTCAACCGTAGTTGAACTTTTTGGTGAAAGCGCATAGCCTGTCTTGGTGCAACCGTAGTTGAACTTTTTGGTGAAGGCGCATAGCCTGTCTTGGTTCAACCGTAGTTGAACTTACTGGCGAAGGCGCATAGCCTGAATCCCAGTTCAACTGTTGTTGAATTTTGTCGATCTTGATGGCGAAGGCTCATGGCCTGAGTCCCAGTTCAACTGTTGTTGAACTTTGTCGATCTTTGATGACGAAGGCTCATGGCCTGAGTCCCATATTGTGGGTATTGAGTGCTGAAGCTCGGTTTGGATTCGAGACCTTGAGCGGCTCATCCGTTGTCTTCCCAACCAGGGTTTATAGGCTGTCTTGAGGCGACTTCTCGGGTCGAGATATCTCTGTGCCGGTTTCTGGCCGGAGCTCGTATCAGGGATGTGGGAGATGCCTTACAGAGACCTTCCCTTAGGAAGGGGGGGGGGCTTCTTTTTTTTGTTTGCACTATCTGAGATCGGAGAGAGAGACAAGACTTAGATCTTGATTTGAGATCTTTGAGTTCCATCGGCCTGATATGCCGCTTTGGCTTGTTTATGCGGGGTTGTTCTTCCTTTTCCGGCGTTTCTTTCCTTTTGGTCCATGGAAGAACTACGCGATTTCGCTATGAAATCCCCACAGACGGCGCCAAATTGTTTGCTCAAAAGTTATCACATATCTTATGAGTATAAAACAATATAAATAAATCACGGGAAAATCATAGCAAACCGTAATAATCCGTTGGACCACATGAAGGAAACGAAAATAAGTACTCAAGATTAGGGGGAGAAACATTAAAAGCCTTTATTGATAATATTGGTTTGGTCTGCCTCTCCATGAAGAGGTTCAGACCCTTACAATGGTGTTTTCTCTTCCCATAAGATGGGTATATTTTTCTCTTCTCTCTCTCTCTTCTCAATAGTGGTGAAGAAGCAGCCCCCCTTCTAGGGCTTCCACTCTTAGTATTTATAGATGTGAGCTTCGTGAGCTGGCAATAAATGGTCATCGCCACGCTGAGGTTCCGTCCCCGTGGGGGAATGAATGGGCTCGTGCCCTCGTAGATTAAATCGGACAAGAGTCGAATCCTGTTATGAATAAGTGGCCATACCACTTATTAATTATGGATTAGCTTAAGACGGGATTGACTCCGTTAATTGCCGTGAGATCGGATTCTGACCCATACAACTTTCATTTTATATCTGCACAATATACTTTTGCATAAAATATGTAGTAATATAATTGTACCCTGGCTTGTTGTGTGCTAAAATAGACGTCTCATATTCGAGCTACTAGAATGATCTTTCTTTTTTTTTTTTTTTTTTTGGTAGGGAACGTTTTCATTTCATATCTGCACAATGCTTTTGCATAAAAAAGAGGTTCACCCACTTTTAAAAAGAAAAAGAAAACCGCTTGTAACTTATGGTAACTTGTTGTGTACCAAAAAATTGGAGAAAGATGATATTTTAGGGTAATCTTTAATTTTTCACTCCCGCTTGCCCTATAGGCAGATTTAAGGTCAAAATTAAAAGTGTTGTCCATGGGACAAGCAAGAAGTAATACTTGTTAAACTTGCAGATATGCTTATAGGACAAGCGGGGACAAAAATTCAAGATCATCCACTTTAAAAGCTATTTGTGCACTTCACCAGTGATGTACATGGATAAATCATATGAGGAATATTTTTATAATCCTTGTCTGCCTATTTTTTCTTGAATTTTAGGTAGTATTTGCCCTAGCATTGTCAAATTAATTGCATTAGTCATAGCTTTGCCTACTTGTTTGTAGTGTTATCTACCTGTTTACATCTTTATTTTGAATCTTTATTTCAAATATCCCCTAGTAGTTATGTTCTAATTTTGCATATTTTCTTTGTGAGCTTTAGTTGTAGATTATAGCCCCATTTAGCTCTTGTATTGTATTTCTTCACCTATTTTGCTATCCTTTAGTTGTAGATTAAAGTTCCTTTACTTCCTTTGTTTTATTTCCTCACCTGTTTTTCCAACCTTTAGTTGTAGATTATAGTTCCTGTTAGTTCCTTTATTTTATTTCTTCACGTGTTTTACGACCTTTAGTGGTAGATTATATTTCGGTAATTCATTTTATTTTTGTCGATTATTTTCGGGATAGTGCTTGCGTAGTGACTTTTAGATTATAGTGGCTTTGGTAAACGATGGTAGGGTAAGGTCTTGTCCTCGTAGGTGTCAGCGCAAGGGGGGGGGGGGTAATGGGGTTAAGAGGGCTAAGGGAGCTACTAGGCTGAGAGTGGGGTCTTGGAACATAGGAACTTTGACTCGAAAATCTGTAGAGTTAGTGAAGATTCTCGAGAAAAGGAAGATTATTATAGCTTGTGTACAGGAGACTAGGTGGGTATGAGATAAGGCGCGGATGTGGGCAGTTTCAAACTTTGGTATTCTGGGAGGGTGAGGGGCAGAAACAGGGTAGGTATCTTGGTTAATTAGGACCTCCGTGAACTAGTGGTGGAGGTTAGGAGGGTGAATGACAGGCTGATGATTATTAAGCTAGTTGTTGGAGGTTTTACTTTGAACATAATCAGTGCGTACGTACCCCAAAAAGGCTTGGATGAGGAAGTCAAGAGGCGTTTCTGGGAGGATTTAGACAAGATGGTGTGTGGTATCCCGCATACCAAGAAGCTTTCATAGGAGGAGATTTCAACGGTCACATTGGAGCGACGTCTGGGGGATATGATGATATGCATGGTGGCTTTGGTTTTGGAGAAAGAAACGGAGGAGAAACGTCTTTGCTGGACTTTGTTAGAGCATTTGATTTGGTGATAGCAAACTCGAGTTTCCCGAAAAAGAGGGAGCACTTGGTCACCTTGCGGTGTTCGGTGGCCGAGACTCAGATTGATTATTTACTCCGCAGGAAGTCGATGGAGGTCTTTGCATGGATTGCAAGGTCATCTTGAGTGAGAACCTCTCGACCCTTCATAGGCTCCTGGTCATAGACCTTGAGATCACGAGGAGGAGGAATAAGAGGCCGATGTATAGCCAACATAGGATAAAATGTGGAGCCTTGACGGAAGCTAAAGCGCAGGAGTTGGGGGTCAAGCTGGTGACTGTGGGGGCTTGGAGGAGTAGCGGGGACGCAAGCGCTATGTGGACCACGACTGTGCAGCGCACTAAGAAAGCCGCGAGAGAGGAATTAGGGGTCTCAAAAGGTTACTCTGGTGGTCACAAGGGAGACTGGTGGTGGTATGGAGATGTGCAAGGAAAAGTGGAAATCAAGAAAGCAGCGTATCTAAAGCTAGTGGAAAGTGTAGACGAGGAGGAGAAGAGGGAGAATAGGGAGCTTTATAAGTTGGCTAAGAAAGAGGCAAAGCTAGCAGTTACAGCAGCCAAGACTGCAACTTTTAGTCGTTTATATGAGGAACTCGAGGGCCAAGGTGAGTATAAGAGGGTGTTTAGGTTAGTCAAGGCACGAGAAAGAAAGGCGCGTGACTTGGACCAAGTGGAGTGAATCAAGGACGAAGAAGGTAGAGTTTTGTTGGATGAGGAGCTTATACGTCGAAGATGGCAAACCTACTTCCATAGTCTCTTGAACGAAGAGGGGGACAGAAGCATTGTACTGGGTGATTTGGAACTCTCTGAGAGTCGTTGTAACTTTGGGTATTGTAGGCAAATTAGAGTGGATGAAGTTGAGGGTGCTATGCATAAGATGAGTAGGAGCAAAGCGATGGCCGGATGAAATCACGGTGGAGTTTTCAAATAGTGCGGGCAAGGCAGGCTTGGAGTGGCTCACTAGGTTATTTAATGTCATTTTCAGAACGAAGAAGATGCTCGAAGAGTGGAGGTGGAGCACGATGGTTCCTGTATACAGGAACAAGGTTGATATCCAAAATTGCAATAACTATACGGGTATCATGCTACTTAGCCATACTATGAAGTGTGGGAGAGAGTGGTAGAGTTAAGGGTGAGGAAGAGTGTGTATATTTTTGAGAAACAGTTTGGGCTTATGCCGGGGTGTTCGACTACAAAAGCCATCCGCCTTGTTAGGAGATTGATGAAGTGTAGGGAGAGAAAGAAGGACTTGCATATGGTGTTCATGACTTAGAAAAGACGTATGATAAAATTTCGAGGGAGGTTTTGTGGAGATGCTTAGAGGCTAGAGGTGTACATGTTGCCTACGTTAGGTTGATTAAGGACATGTATGATGGGGTAAAGACCCGAGTGAGGATGGTGGGTGGGGACTCGGACCATTTTCCGATTATGATGGGGTTGCATCAGCAGTCAACACTCAGCCATTTTTTGTTTGCTCTGGTGATGGACGTACTGACGTGCCACATCCAAGGGGAGGTGCCGTGGTGCATGCTATTTGTAGATGATATTGTATTAATTGTTGAGACACGAGACGGTGTGAATACGCAATTAGAGGTATGGAGGCAGACCTTGAAATCTAAAAGTTTCAAGTTGAGTAGGACCAAGACAGAATACTTGGAGTGTAAGTTCAATGGCGAGACTCAAGGAGGGGAAGGGGAGGTGAGGCTGGACTCGTAGGTCATCCCTAGGAGAGGGAGTTTTAAGTACCTTAGGTCTATTATTCAGGGGGGTGGGAAGATTGATGAAGATGTCACACATCGTATTGGGTCGGAATGGATGAAATGGAGACTCGATTCCGGTATTTTGTGTAACAAGAAGGTGCCACCGAAACTTAAGGGTAAGTTCTACAGGGTGGTGTTCAGACCAACGATGTTGTATGGGGCTGAGTGTTGGTCGGTCAAGATCACTCATATCTAGAAGATGAAGGTAGCAGAGATGAGGATGCTGAGATGGATGTGTGGGCACACCAGGTTAGATAGGATTAGAAATGAGGTTATTCGCGACAAGGTGGGTGTGGCCCCTATTGAGGACAAAATGGGGGAAGTGCGGCTTAGGTGGTTTGATCATGTGATGAGGAGGAGCACAGACGCCCCGGTGAGGAGGTGTGAGAGGTTGACTTTGGAGGGCCTACGGAGAGGTAGAGGCAGGCCAAAGAAGAGGTAGGGAGAGGTGATTAGGGAAGACATGGCGCAGCTTCAGCTGACTGAGGACATGACCCTTGAAAGGAAGGTATGGAGGTCGAGGATTAAGGTAGCAGAGTAGGTAGTCTAGAGTGTTCATAATAGTAGTATTGACACGCAGTCTCGCTTTCTGTTGGTAGTAGGTTTTTATGACTAGCCGTTATTTTCTTTCATTGTTGATTACCTTACTGTCTTGTTGTTTTCATTCTGCTTTTATATGGCTTTTTGGTATTGTCTCTTCTTGTCTATATTTTCAGTAATGTGGTGCTTTGTAACAACCTGACTTGTCGTTTTAAGAATTAATGCTCCTTCAGTGACTTAAGATCTCGAGAACCTTCGTAATATGTATTATGACCCGCGTGTGTGGTCGAGTTTGATTTTCGGAAGAACAGAATCTAATTTGAAAGAACAATTCTCATTTTGAAGCTTTAATGGAAAAAGTTGACTAGAGAGTTGACTTTTGAGCAAATGACCCCGGGATAGAATTTTGATGATGTCAATAGCTTCGTACGGTAATTTCGGACTTAGGTGTGTGTCCGGATTTGGATTTGGAAGTCCGTAGGGCAATTCGATGCATTTTGGCGAAAGTTGGAAATAGAAGATTTTTTTGGAAAATTCGACCGAAGGGTGAATTTTTGATAACGAGGTCGGATTTTGATTTTGGAAATTGGAACGACTCCATTTCGTCATTTACGACTGGCGCGCAAAATTTGAAGTTATTCCGGATTGATTTGATACGTTTTGGCACAAAATATAGAAGTTGGAAGATTTGAAAACTCATAATTTGATTCGATGCGCGATTCGTAACTTCGGCGTTGTTTGACGTAGTTTGAAGCCTCGACTAGGTTCGTATTGCAGTTTAAGACGTGTTGGTATATTTCGTTAAGGTCCCGAGGGCCTCGGGTGAATTCCGGATGGCTAACGGATCGATTTTGGAATTTTGAAGCTGCTAAAATTCTGCTGTTTCTGGGCAGCAACTAATACCTTCGCTTCTGCGGCAATTTCATCGCAGAAGCGACCTCGTAGAAGCGAGGATTTCGTCGCAGAAGCGACCTTGGTAGAGCTGGAGGGAGGTCTCAGATGCGGACAGTCTTGCGCACCTGCGCAATCGCATATGCGATACCTTGAAGACGCAGAAGCGGACTGAGGCATTAGATTTTCTGAATCAAGACTTGAATTCAAAGACGTGAATGTCTTTTCTGGCTTTAACATTCTTATAGATGCTTTGATCATAGATGGTTTTAACAGAAGCCTGCGATGTCTTGAAGACGCAGAAGCGAATTGGCAGAAACATTTAAGGACCAAAAAATAAGTCATTTTACCATTTTCGATTGGGATTTTAGAGCTCGGTTTTGGGGCGATTTTGGAGGAATTCTTTATAACTTTGACTTGGGTAAGTGTCCTATATCCAAAAGTGATTATATTTCATAAATCCATAGTTATATTCATCATTTATTTCGGATTTAAATGGAAGAAATCAAGATTTTTGCAAAACTTTTTCAAGAACGAAAATTTAAGATTTGGAGGTCGAGTTGTTATCAGAATTCCATAAAATTGGTATGGTTGAACTCGTATCGGAATAAGTGTCTGGATTTCGTGAAAAATTATGTCGGTTCAAAGAGGCAAGCCCCGCGTTGACTTTTGTTGACTTTTTAATGTGAAATTTTAAGTCGGCGTTTTATTATCTGGAATTGTTCCCGATGATGTTTAATGAAGTTATATAATTAAATTGGATAGGTTCGAGCTGTCCGGAGATAAATTCGAGCAAGAAGGCTATTTTGAAATATCGGCCTAACTCCGTAAAGGAAAGTATCTTGCCTAACTTTGAGTGGGGGAATTACCCCTTAGGCATTGAGTTGTATGTGCCATTTTTGTAACGTGAAAGCCGTGTACGCGAGGTGACGAGTGCATACTTGGTTTATATGTGCAAATTGTGTCAGTTAAAATTCGTAGACACCCTTAAGTATTAAATTGAAAATTGTTGGTACTTATTAAATCCTTTATTGTCATGCCTCATTCCTTGTTTGTCTAGTTTGTAATTTATATTATAATTTGGTGTGATTGCCATTTGGATTTTTAACTGAATTCCGTATGTTTGTTGATTTGATATTTCTTGGAAATAATCACATTATGGATTTTCCTTATGCAAATAATTAAGTAAATAAGTTTAAATTGTGGCGTTAATATATTTATGAAGATTTGGATTTAAGAAGAGGTTGTCCTTGTTGAGTTATTCTCCCGTCTTTGCTTCTGCATATTTACTTTGGGACTACGAGGCGGTACCTCGTGAGATCCCCTGTATTGCATATTTACTTTGGGACTACGAGACGGTACCTCGGGAGATCCCCCTGTCTTGCATATTTACTTTGTGACTACGAGGCGGTACCCACTACGAGGCGGTACCTCGGGAGATCCCCTTGTCTTGCATATTTATTTTGGGACTACGAGGCGGCACCTCGGGAGATCCCCCTGTCGAGCATTTACATATGGGTTTACGAGCTGGCAACACCTCGGGAGCGCCCCTGTTGTTTACCTCTATTTGCTGTGCTGTTACTTATCTGTGAAGTACCCGTCGTTCACTCCTCAGTCATTTCATTAAATTATTATGTCTTCTGTCTTGTGAATTGCCCATACAGTTGGGATAGAAATATGGGCACAAGGTGCCGTGAGATATGAAAGTGGGATGAGTCCCGAGATTTTTAGGATTATGAAGTGAGGTGTCAATCGATGATTTCACTTGAAAGAATTATATTCGAAAGGTTTTATTTAAAAGAATTATAATTGAAAGGTTTTATTTAAAAGAATTATATTCGAAAGATTTTTATTTGAAAGAATTATATTCGAAAGGAAAGAGTTTTATTTAAAAGAATTATATTCGAAAAGCTTTTATTTGAAGGAATTTTATTCGAAAGTTTTACATGAAAGAATTATATTCGAAAGGTTTTGCTTTAAAGAATTATATTCGAAAGGTTTTTATTTGAAAGAATTATATTCTAAATGAAGGGTTTTTATTTGAAAGAACTATATCCGAAAGGTTTTATTTAAGAGAATTATATACGAAAGATATTTATTTGAAAGAGTCATATTGGGAGATATTTAATTGAAAGATTTAAATTCGTAAGATATTTATTTGGAGGAAGTATATTCGAGATATATTTAATTGATAGGATTACATTCTAAGAATTTTATTTGGAAAACTTATAGAGAAAGGATGTATATTTTGAAGGACTTGATTAATTGGTTGTACTTGACTTTATTATTCGTGTGAGCAATATTTATGGTATTCTTGATGCCTTGCTATTTATGTCACTATTTGATTATTGTTGCTATCACTGCTATCAGTTTCTATTATATTTTGTATGTTGCACAGGTTATTAGACTAGTGAGTGTCTTGACTGTACCTCACCACTACTCCACCGAGGTTAGTCTTGATACTTACTGGATACCGATTGTAGTGTGCTCGTACTACATTTCTGCACATTTTTGTGCAGATCAGGTATTGGAGATATCGGACTCTGCCAAAGATAGAGTGCGATCGCAAGAATTTACGGTAGAGCTGCTTGGTCGCCGCAGTCCTTTGGAGTCTTTCCATTTCTATTGTACTATTAATTTCTTATTCGAACAGTATTGTATATTCAGTCCTCTAGATCATTCCATGTATTCAGTTAGAGTTCGTGTCTTAGTATTACCAGTCTTGGGAGGTTGTTATATTTGTTTCCCCTTTGGTTTCGACACTTGTATTATAATTATATGTTAAGAAAAAATGGCTTGACTTGTTATTATCATCGGCTTACCTAGTCTTAGAGAAAAAATGGCTCGACTTGTTATTATAATCCACTTTTGGTTTCGACGCTTTCCTGAGTCGAGGGTCTATTGGAAACAGCCTCTATCCTCACAAGATAGGGTAAGGTCTGCGTACACACTACCCTCCCCAGACCCCACGGCGTGGGATAATAGTAGGTCAGTTGTTATTTTTGTTGTACTACAGTTTAGAGCCTAATTATCATATGTAACTATAGTTTATCGAATTATCATTTATAGATAATGTTCAATTGTTATCAGCTTGTATCACTTGTATCCAGACACGCAACGAATATCGCCTGTAGTCAACTGTATTCGTTCGCGCAACGAATAAATGTATTAATTGTATACAACCTGTATCAACTGTATTCGTTCGTGCAATGAATACAACCAAGGCGAATTACATGGGTATTACAAAGGGTACAATATGTATCAACTGTATTCGTTCGCGTAATGATTACAACTAAAGCGAAATATAGGGGTGTATATAAAGGATACAACCTGTTATCAACTGTATTCGTTCACGCAACGAATATAACTAAGGCGAAACACAGAAATACAAAAAAATAGCATGCTCTCCTTAAGAGTCGAGCTCAAGACATCCGCATATTAAACGGTTGCTCTAACCAACTAAACTCTCTCTTGTTTCAGTTAAAAAATATGATCTCTTATTTCAGTATTACAGTCGGATTTGCTATAAAATTCAAATATAACTATGGCTAATAATTTTCTGAAAGTATAACTAAGAATGATAAACACAATGATATATTACTATGTCGCGTAATTTTGGGTGAAATTAAAATATAGCCAGATTTACAAGTGATAATTTAAAAATAGCCACAATTTCAAAAGTAATTAAATTTTAGCCATTTTCATGTAAAGTTAAATCTGAATGAAAACACTATTCAAAATTCGGAAAATATTCCAGCATAATATACTGGAGTTCGAATGTTTTACATGTGAACTTCCAGCATAATATACTGGAGTTCCAGCATAATATACTGGAATTCCAGCATAATATAATGGAGTTTCAGTATAATATACTGGTCCAGCATAATATGCTGGAAGTTCATACGCAGGTGCTCCAATCTCCAACTTTTCGTGTGTTGGGGTTCCAGCATAATATGCTGAAAGTTTATACACAGGTGCACCAATCTCCAGTGTATTATGCTGGAACTTTTCATGTTGCAGCAAAATAGAGGCTATTTTTCGATGACTTTACAAACGCTGGCTAATTTTCAATTACCAGTCCGAAAACTGACTAACCCATACTTTTTTCACCGTAATTTTTCCTTTAATAATGCTTATGGGCCAGTTTTTCCGACAGAAGGGCTAGGGACTAAAATGCGAAGAGACAAAAGAATTAGACAGGCCAACAAGAAATTTGTTTGACAAACACTGGAAGGGTATCGTTATCAATTAGTTTCCTTTGTAAATTGTTATATCTGTTACTTTGCTGCTAACTAGAGTGTTTAATTAGGGGAGGTGCACAGTTAGCTACTAATTAGAGCTGTATTTATTCTCTAGCCACTTTTTGAAATGTATTTACTCTTTAGCCAGTGCTTTATGAACTTTTAACTGCCCGAACAAAAATACCCCTATGTAAATATTAAGGACAAAGTGTCCTGAATTAGCACCTTCTATTTTAAACTTTAGGATATCATGTCCTTAACTTCATACGTGCAGTGTAAATATTAAGGAATAAACCTAATTAACTAGTATATATATTAAGTTGGATAATAAAATAACTAAGATAATAATTAATGGTAAAGAAATGGGCTAAACCCATATTTCTTTTATTGGCCCATGTATAAAGATCTAAAGTGTAGGAAAAGGAGTAATTTAGGTCTTATAAATAATTTTTTTTTTAAAAAAAAACAGAACGAAAGGAAACAACGTTCTGGGAGGCGGCGATCACAATTGGAGGAAAAAAAGGGTTTGGGGAAGAAATCATAACCATGTATATACCATATCCTTCATGATTACTACCATGAGTGGAACCTTTTTCATAGCAACAGAGATAAAATTGTAATTAAAAATTAGACTTTACAATGTATGATCATCATGACGTCATAATTGATAGTGATAATAGTTAATGAATTGTAGAATGGAAATCTTGCCATGGAAAACAATTTTTGACACAGTTTCGTTGTCTCTCTATGAATTATTATATATTACAATCATTAGGGTAATGATTGGGAGGCAATATAATTTGCTAAGGATTGACTAATTAGCAGAATTTGACATTAGACTTTGAGCCCGTTTTGATTAGCTGATTCTAAATAGCTGATAAGCTTGAAGTGTTGAAACTGAATTTTTAAAAAAGCATTTACGTGTTTGGATAGA